TCGGCCAGCTTTACTCTTTTCTTTAATAGTTTGTCGATCTTCCGGGTGCCTTAAAACCGTCACAAAATGGCTTCGGTCTCAGTGGGGAAAGGTTTTCAATCTAGTTTGACTTGCTGATATAATCCCGGCTAGACCCATAGCAAATGTGTGGTTTTATCTCGATCATACTGGCGTCATCAGCCAAGCATACGTTACTATAACTTTGAGTGAGGGTGTTCAGAAACAATGCGTTGATGCCTGATGCAAGCGAAACACACACGATTATGCAGTGGAGCAAAAAAATTTGTTGAGTACGATTAGTGGGCAGACGTTTGCAGTGTAACACTAAATTGTGACCACGCTACATCTGACCGTTCTAGAAACAAAGATTGCGTTATAAGTTTGGCATACCAAAGTGAATGCGAGCACGATTAGTGCTGAATGTGGGCTTACTGAAGCCATACCATGATATTGCTCACACGATCCAGTTGAACATGGAGAGCTTCATCTACAATGTATAAATTGCTAGGGTTGTCTCAAGCCAGTTAGTGTAATTCAGAAGATGTATCCAAGTCCTGACTCATATTAGTGTCGGACGCATACCACAACTCTCGGAAAGATCCGATGTGCCGCTCATTTCTTTCAGTCGATTGGAATGATATCCACAGCCAGTGAGTACATTCCATTTGAGGCTTTTTTTCGTCGATTATGTGAGATTTGAAGCAGTACAAGTAATCGTATTCAGCTAATGTGACTTAAGTTTGAGTGTGAGCAAAGGTAAGCCTTGCATTTCAGCAGCGGCCGTACGTTGAGACTTATGGAGCGAATTGACGTGTCACCATAGCCGAGAACCTCGTGAGATCCACCCGTTGGAGGGTCGTTTTTGCTGACTCTGCTTAATAAGACTAGCGATTTGATCAATATCAGAAAATTTTCCCCTACGAAGACTAAAGCTCTTTAAAGGGTATCAGAGGGACGCTAGACTTGATTTCTACTTTCATAATACGGCGCAGTGCATTTTCAAGGCATGGGCTGCCTAAGGTCAACGAGCGGGGCATATAAATGCGGCATCGCGGTTTCTTTGTGCATGCGTTTTCAAAAATAAATTTGATCACACGATTAACGCATTATATTTATCTATCGATGTTTGGGTAGGTCGCTCTCTAATCTACCTTGAACGATGCTTATAAAAACCTGGCTCTAGCGCAAAGCTTGATATGTCACACAAGCCATATTTGCGAGAGACTTT